GCCGTCACGTGAGCGGGCGCGCGGCCCAGCTCCCCGCCCCGCCCCCGCGTCAGCGCGCGCTCCGACGTGCCCTGGAACTCGCCCTCCCTCGGAGAGCAGCCTGAGGGGACGCGGTCGGCCTCGGCGGCCGCCGTGTTTATGCTGTCGAGGCTCGCTTCGGCGTCCCACAGCCACCGGGCTGGCCGGGGCGCCCCTGCCTGCTGACGGGGGAGCTGCCGCCCGCACTTGGCTCTCCGGCTCTCTGCCTCGAGGCCGCCGGACCCTCGGTAAGGTGGAGGGGCGCGGGTCCTCGCGGATGGAGGGAGGGTTGACGCGCCTGCACAAAGGCGCCCGCGAGAGCTCCCCGGCCTGCGCCCCGGAGGGACGGCGGAGTCGGGGGGAGGCGTGTGCTGGAGGTGCGTCTGCGCCGAGGTGAGCGCGGGGTGACGGCTGGGAGCGCCCCACGGGGTTCGGGCCGAGGGGCGCGCGGGTGTGGGCGCCGCGGGGGGAGGGGAGGCCGCGCCTGCTCATTGGCTGACGTGGGCGACGGGGTTTAAATGGCTCGAAGTTGTGGCTGTTCTGCCCCCTGGGTTTCTTGACTTCCTGAGTGAGGGCAGCGCCCGCGTGCCCCGCCCCCAGGAAGGAGGGTGTCGGGGTGTCGGTGAGAGAGAGTGTGTGTGTGTGTGTTTGTGTTTGTAACAGGCTGGCCCGGGTGCTGTTGCCGCCCTCCGTCCTCGCCCCTTACGGCTCAGGTGTGCCCGCTCCCTAACTGCAGACCTCCGCCCACCTGCGGCCTCCCGTAGAGGGCTGTTGACCCTAAACAGGGCACTTTCTCTGCAGTCTTCCGAGCGCCACGCCCCTGCTGAATGAACATAATGTTACCCTCCAGCTCTTCTAGGAGGCGTCGCCTCAAAGTCCTTGAATTAAAAAACCCTCTTTACCAGCTTGCTGCTCTCCTCTCTCAAGATAGTTGCTCGTTTTCCGAGAATGGCTTTTTCTTTACGTATTGTATGTTAAGTTACTGCAGAACCTCTGAGAAGAAATGGCCACATTCGAGAAAAAGGCACGGCCTTCAGTTTTTGAAGCTTGCGATGTTTTTCTTTCGACTACAGTAGCGGTTTTAAATGCTGTTGCAAATGAAGTGTTTATTACGGGTAAAGGCTGTTAACGCTCTAATCACACGATTGGTTGTGGCTTGCTTTATGGTTAATTATGACATATGGAAGTAGATGTTATTGATCTGTTATATGTACATTCCTAAGGGAAGGCAATATGGTAGAAGAAGCATTGAATGAGGGACTCACTCTTTCCTGATCCTGGTTCGGCCACCCACCTCTAGAGTCTAGAGGTGAGACCTTGGAAGAGTAAGAATGTTATAGTGAAAGGTTGTTAAGAAGTATCTAACCTTTAGCCCCACTGCTTTATACTTAAACGTCGGGAAACAATGGCGTGGAGATGTATTTGTCTGTCCATATCCGGTTTTTCTTACCTGATCTATAGGAGGGTGTATTACAGAATGGGTCGTCTTTCTGTACTCTTCTCGTCTGAATAGACAGTCTGGCTTTTGGGGCCAGTATTTTTCTGTTTGTTTTAAAAAGCCCTGGAAAAGTTGGGGATCCCAGAGTAGGGCCTTGGAGCAGCTGGTGAAGGCATGACCCTGAGCTGTGCCACCTGAAGAACCAGACAAGCTGGGCACATGTGTCTGACGCATGGTTGCATGTGGCACCGCTGCTCTGGAGGTGTTTCTGTGGGGAAATAAATAAAGTGTAATGTAATAGATTGTGTGTGTGTGTGTTTGTTGATAGATTTCTTTTTTGTACTTTAACAACTGTAGAAGTTGGAGATGGCTCACTCATTGATTCTTAGTATAATGCCATCTGTATAGGTTATAGGGTCACAATGAGTCGGAATCAGCTCGATGGCCACAGGTTTGGTTTTTTTGTGTATAGATTAAGGAGCCCTGGTGGTGCAGTGGTTAAAGCCCTCGGCTGCTAACTGAATGGTCGGCAGTTCAAACCCACCAGCCACTCCGCAGGAGAAAGATGTGACAGTCTGCTTCCATAAAGGTTTACAACCTTGGAAACCCTATGGGGCAGTTCTAGTTTGTCCTATAAGGTCGCTATGAGTCAGCATCGACTAGACAGCAACAGATTGTATATAGATTTGTTGCCCTTATATAATCGTTAGTATGTTATTGGTCTTTTTACTTACCGGTTGTTGTGAAGCTCGAGTGAAAGTATGTAAATGCTCTAAAAAGCAGTATATTACTTGTAGTTATCATTTGGTTTTTCTTTCATTAAGTAGAAAGTTTCTAATGAGTGCTTTTTTTAAATGGCCTGATAGAAAACAGACTTTACAAATTTAAGTACTTTAAGTTACACAAAATTTTGAGAATAAAAAGAGTAATAACATTTTAAAATTGGCGAAAATAAAACAGTGAATAGTCTTGATTCATAAAATTTGTTAATGGTAGTACTAGTATTTTAATTACCAGAGAAAATTGGTACACTGGCTAAGAGCTTAGCTGCTAACAACAAGGTTGGCCGTTCGAATCCACCAGCTGCTTTTGGAAACCCTGTGGGGCAGTTCTACTATGTTCTATAGAGTCGCTGTGAGTTGGAATTGACTCGACGACAGTGCTTTTGGTGTTTGGAGAAAATTGGTGCAAGGAAAAAGCAGCTTAAGGTGAATCCGCCTAAAATGGCGTAATTTTATAGTAAGTAGAAAGAACCCTGGTGGTACAGTGGTTAAAGCACTTGGCTGCTAATTGAAAGGTGGGTGGTTTGAACCCACCAGCCAGTCCACGGGAGAAAGATGTAGCAGTCTGCATCTGTAAAGATTTCCAGCCTTGGAAACCCTATTGGGCAGTTCTGTTCTGTTCTACAGGGTCGCTATGAGTCAGAATTGACTCAATGGCAATGCGTTTGGTGGTTGGAGAGAACAGTGAAACTAAACTTTTATTTTATCTTACATGTAGTTATAATTGAACTGTTTTTGTGGAATGAACTAAGAGTAAATTAGAGGTAAAAAAGTATGATAGTACCATCTAATATCATTATACTTTAAATCATTCTTTTCAAATCATTATCTTTTGAGGAACCCGCTGGGTCTCCATCCTTGTGGTTTTTCTTTTTAGTTGTTAACTGATCCTATTGTGCCAGATCCTGATTAGTGGTTGGCTTTTCTGTGATTCAGTCATTTCCCTATCACTTCCGTTGACTTGGTTAAGAGCTTGGCTGCTAATCAAAAGGTGGGCAGTTCGAATCCACCAGCTGCTCCTTGGAAACCCTATGAGGCAGTTCTGCACTCTCCTGTGGGGTCGCTATGAGTTGGAATTGACTCGACAGCAACAGATTTGGTTCGGTTTTTGGTTCATTGACTTAATAAATGTAGTTTTGTTTTGCAGTTGACTAGTTTTTTATTTGATCTGAATGCCAAATGCTATCTCTAGGCCCCCCTTTTTGATGATGTAGTGCTTCTCAAACTTTCATGTGTGTAGGAATCACCTGTACTTCAAACAGGTCCTCAGATGATGCAGATTATAATGTCCTGCCCAGACTATGCTGATCTAGGCTAAGTGCTGTCGAGTAGAAATATGATGTAAGCCACCTGTGCAATTTTAAAGTTTCTAGTAGTCACATCTAAAAAAGTCAAAAAGTGGAAAAATAAGTGAAATAAATTTTAGTAATTTATTAATTTTTTAAATTCAGTATATCTAAAATATTACAATTTTAACAAGTAATCAGTATAAAATTATTGAGATATTTTACATTTTTGGGGGGACTAAGTGTTTGAAATCCTGTGTGTATTTTACACTTCCAGCACATCTCAATTCAGACTAGCCACATTTCAACTGCTCAGTAGCCACATGTGATTAGTGGCTACTATATTGCACAGCATAGTTCTAGAGTCTGGACTCTAGATCAGTCTATTCTAAGTGTTATTTTCAGACTGACCCCAGTAGCAGCACTTCGGAACTTGTCAGAAATGTAAAATTATGGACCCCACCCCGACCTACTGGCATTAGAGTATCTGGGAATATAACCCCGTAATCTGTGCTTTAAAATCTCTCCAGGACATGCCTGCAAAATGTTTCCTGGATGGGACCATGGAACATAAAAAGGACGTTAGGGAAAAATTGAGAAAATATGAATAATATGATATTATTGAATGACTGTATCAATAGTGGTTCATTAATTGTGATAAATGAACCATACTGCAGTAGTGTAAGATGTTACTAATAGGGAAAATGGGTGTGGGGTATGTGGCAACTGTCTGTACTATGTTTGCAGTAATTCTATAAATCTAAAACTCTTCTAAAAGAAAAAGGTTATTTTTTTCTAAAATAAGCTTTCCAGCTGATTCTGTTGTTCAGTACAAGTTTGAGAAGAACTGATCCAGATATTTATATGATCTACATTACTGCAGCTTGGGTGGGCAGTATGGATGTTAGTATTAGGCCTGGTAGGGTAATAATAATAGTGTTTTTGTAATAAGAGCTAAAAGTTAAGTTCTAGGCACTATACCAAATTCGTTACCTGTATTAACTCATTTAATTTCTCCCAATATGTGGTATGTAGTATTAAAAAGCTCCATTTTAAAGATGGAAAAAACTGAGGCTCAGTGAGGTTAAGTGACTTGCCTTAGGTCAGCACTGCTAGCAAGAGGCAGATATATAGGATGTTTGAGAAGGAACTTATTTTGTAAGTAATCACTTCATTTGTGAGTATTTTTTCTACTCTCAACTTTTCTTCCTTGAGTATGTAACGATTAATGTGGATACTTTATATCACACTTGATAGTTTATGAAGTTCTTTTTCACATTTTCTCTTTCCATCCTCACAAGGATCTTTTGAGGTTTGTACTGTGTCCTTTGTTATGCAGATAAGTTAACCTGCTATTGGTCTGAGAGCTGATAAATGACAAAGCCTAGATATAAATTTCAGGCCTCTAACCCTGAGTCTTGACTCTTTCCCTTGTACCACAGCAGAATTTAGAATACATTTTGAGACTCATAATGACCTTATAGGACAGAGTAGTACTGCCCAATAGGGTTTCCAAGGAGTGGCTGGAGGATTCGAACTTATAACCTTTCGGTGTGCAGCCAAGCTCTTTACCACTGCACTATCAGGGCTCTGAAATTAGAGTAGCTATCTCTAAAAGTTTGCTGAAAATTACTTGTGTTTTGTTATCCATATTTGGTTTAAAAAAAAAAAGTTTCAGGTTTATTGAGGTATAATATGCATGCTAGTAAAATACACTAAAACTACAGTTAATAAGCTAGGAG